TTCTGGAGGACCACATCCTTAAGGGAGAGGACTTCATCTTGTAAGTGTTCCTCCAGATTCAGTGTAATATTCTCCAATTTTTCCAATGCCATAGAAGTGTTGTAAACAAAGGAGGCAAGTTTATGTATATCTTTGTAATTTTGAGCAACTCCCACAGCAGGGAAGAGACTCCTGCCAATTAAGTTTCCCGTAGACCATTCTAGGTGTTCTGCTCTCCTTTCCCAGTGGAAAGTATGCCTAGTAGAGTATCGAATAGCTTCTACTGGCACGATATGAATGCCACCAGGCCGTAACCACCCTATAGTGCAAGTCCCTGACCAGGCAGGTGGCATTACCTTAAATCCCTCATTGCCACATAACCACCAGACTCCTGAACCTAAACAGATCGGTTATTTAGATGTTAGAACCTGTAGAATAATCTTGAGAGTAGGAAGAAACGTGCCTGATTTTAAGGAGTCCTGGGGAAAAAGGTTTTCTAGCCATTGAGTAAAGGAACCATCAAATATAGGAACTGACTTGTTAAACAGCAACCATCCAGTACTTTCCCATGTAAACTTAAACACACACCCCTCCCAGTCCCCAACAAAATCATTTCCCCCCCTCTTCTGAAAACAAAAGGGGGCATCAGGTATGGGGTGGAGAAACTGGAAAGGTTTGGGATCCATATAGACTGAGTTAAAAATCTGAACTGAGAAATTATACCATCTGTCCAAGTCTAGGGGTATTGGCAAAACAACTAACCCTTGCTGGCTATGAGTAGGGAAATAACTGCAAATCCAGCAAGTAGGAGGATTGGTTTCATTAATAACCAAATTATGAAGTTGTATCAAACTTCAGCGATTACTACTTGAGAAAGTAAGAAAAGAAATGACAAACAGAAAAGAAAGGACAACATGCTGAATTTTCCAAATACCTCCCCTTCTGTTCTCTATTCCATCCAGCGGATCCTCCAGAAATCGGGAAGGGTAAGGAGTGTCCTTACAAATCTCTACAAGTCAAATATGCTTTGAACCTTTATTACCCACAAACTTATTCAGTGTCTTTAGTGTCCCTTTGAAAAAATCAGCTTGAGGCCATCCAGTCCTTTAACTTTCCACTGGGCTTTTGGTTTCCGCTAGTGATTTTGTAATGGGACAGTGCTGTCACCTGGTGGAGAGGCAGCCTTTGCGTGCTGGTAATGCACCCACGCTTGAATTCCCTCAACCTTCAGGCTGGATGGGGTCGTCAAGGATACCTGGAGTGGCCCTTTCCACTTTTTGGACAGATGGTCAGAGCCTTTAAACCATGCTTTCACATATACCCAATCACTGGGCTGAAATGGATGCAGAGGCTCAGATAAGGATTGGAGTTGTTTCTCCAAT